TAAGTAAATATGTAAAACTATAAGGTGTGTTCTAGTAAATGACCCTAATATAAACACATAAGAGTATACAATTGTTTTATATTTTTAACTTTTTAGATAATTAATAATTATCCATATTTTATATACTATTTTTAATAAATTTTTTATAATACGAAAAATAACAATAATTAATTCAGTTAGTTTATTCATAAAACTTATGAAACCGACCAACCTGATCAACTCGACCTGCTTTGGTTCAAAAAATTTCCAATTCGACTAAGTTTGATCAATTTTTTAAATGTAGTTTTTAATATGAAAAGGTGATAAATTTCCCATATTTCTTATTCTAAAATGTTTTATTTCGTAAATCTAATTTATAAATTTATTTTTTTAATAGTTGTTGTGAGTGAAGTGGTTAGGTTATGTACAAGAGTCTCCTTAAAAGACAAGAAAGTCAAGTGTAGGAGGTAGGCAAAAGGCTTGGGCAAATGAGGTGATAGAATGATTATCTCGTTACGAAATTGGCCCATATTTATAGGGAGAAATCTCAAGGTCCCGAAAGGAATGAGCTAAAAGTGTTTGGTTCCCATTAGGAAAGGGAATATCGGGTTTTGTGTTAATTGTTAGGGAACACTGTTAGGGTTTTGCCATGTGTTTTATGAGATATCTCAATGACAAACTTTTATTTCATGTGAGGATTCTCATAATACACGTGTGCTACTTCCTTTCGTAACCATTTTGGAAAGACGTAGCATGGGTGACGTCACAATTTAGCTTGTGCACTTTCATTTGGCTCATGGGGTGTCTCGTCACGCGCATTATTTAACGATGCATATGTTTCTATTATTTGTTTATGATTTGCGGTGATTCTGGGTTCATTGTGATTATGTGATGACTTTAAACTCATCGCAAGCCCACATAGGTCTGGAGTCCATCACGGTTCTGAAATGGATTTAAACTCATCGCAAGTCCGCGCGGGTCCAAAATTCATCACAACCTATTTTAGCTATGAGTTCATCACAAATGTGTGATGAGTTATGAACTCATCGCATATGTGCAAAGAGTTATGGACTCATTACAGGCATTCGCATGGTATTAGTTTGACACCTCATCTGTTTTGATGGTTTAAGTGACTACCATGTACCTACAATTGCCCTGTAATTTTTTAAATTTAATTTAATTTTTAAGTTTAAATCTTTTGAACCGATTGGCCTTTTGTGAAAACTGATCAAAACTTATACAACTTGAGTGGGTCGGTTTTTACAAAAGGTCAGTCGGCTAGGAGTGCTCACGGTTTGGGTAACCAAACCGTGGGTCTTTTTTTGGACCGAAATGGTAGTACCGATTTTTGGAAAACCAGTAACCGGAACCGAACCGAAACTAGTCAGTTAACTGATGACTCGATTCATCGGTTTTTCAATTTGTTTGACTTTATAATATTTATTATAAATATATATAAAATATTATATTTAAATTATATATATATATATAGATGTAGCGCGATCTGATCACTCCTACCTGGCACTCACGTGGCTCTTGGAAGGTACTTGAGATGAGGAAGAATAAGAATCCCCGGGGAGTTAATCCGGTGGGGACACTCCGATGCTTAAGTTAGTACTATGAAGGAGACGAAGGCTAAGAGTGCAGATAGCGCGTTCTCACTGTACTTGAGAGATTAAAGGTTTATGGAAGCCGTTTCTCTTATGCCCTGAGGGCTTTTATAGAGACACTCACATCAGGTCAGGCATAACCGCCACTGGGCTCCTGCCACAGCCGTTACCTGCCAGGGCTACGCAGGTGGCCGTTGTGGCGTACGTCTCGCTCAGGTGAGTGACACGTTTCCAAAGTGGCAGGCATGCCTTTGCCTGCTGAAAGACGTGGACGCAGACTGCCGAAAGGACTAGGACTGCGCCGTTAGTAAGGGATATGGCGCAGTCTGACCGGTACGGTTTGTCAGTCATAAGCTTCCTGGAGAGTGCTCGTGCGGCTCAATCGCAAGCTATTTTGTAGCGAGCTTGGAACACTCCAGGATTACCCTTAGTGGAATTGGTCATCGGAATGACTTGTCTGCTTGGGAGCTCGGACGAGCTAATAGCTTTAGCTCGCGAGCTAAAGTTGCCTCGGAGTATCTCTTCAAAGGTAGCTCGGGGAGCCTGGGTTCGCGACACGGCGAAATCCTTTCGCGAGCTACAACGTAGCGAGCTGCTTTGTCGGCCCGTCACTTGGTCGTACCAGGTTACAACGCTGAGCTGTCGCTTGTGCTGATTCAGTGTCCATGTGTCACCGTTCCATAGGTGGGGTCAAATCACCCTCCATCATATATAATGTGTATTTATTAATTTATAATATAAAATACATATAATATACATAAATATATAAAAATATATATACAAAAACATGTATATCAGTCGGTTCGATTAATCGCCGACTTTTTAAATTGGTTAACTGAAACTGAATTGTTGCCTTCGGTTTTTTAAAATCATAGAACCAAAACCGAACCGGCCGGTTCGGTTAACCAATTTTTCAGGTTCGGTTTTGGTCGGTTTTTCCGGTTTTTTTTTTTTTTGCTCACCCCTATAGTCAGCTTTAGCTGACCAACTCCCCAACCTGACCATGTCAATTTGTTGGCCAAATAGCCTACGACCAGTTCGAACCAACTCATGAACAATCATAATTTTAACTAAATTAATAGTTTTATCTCCAATAAATAACAATAATTTAATCTCCAATAATTATTAAAAATTTATAGCGAAAACACGTAATTATTGAAAATATATTGATAATGAAAAATACAATAAGTACTAAAAATATACTAACTTAGTAAATAGATAGTATAATCTCAAATAATAGTTTAATATCTAATAAATATTAATTAATCAATAAGTTATAACAAAAATACAATAAGTACAATAAATTAAATTTAAAAAATTCAATAATAGTAGTTTAGTCTCCAATAATTATTGAAAGTTTTCTATTAAATAACAAAAAAATATATATATAATCATTGAAAATACATTTATCACAAAAAACTATAAATAATTATTAAAATACAATAAATATTAATTTTAGTATATATAATTATATAATAAATACAGATTAAGAGTTTAAATTTATTATTAATAAATGTTAATGTTTTTGAAAGTTAGTTTCTTGAATTATTACTTGATATAAGTGAAATTAGTTATTTACAATATTATATAAAAATATTAAATTATTATTAATTTCAATATTATGTTATAATTATTTTTCTACTTTCAAGAATTTTTTAAATTTATTACACAATTTTGTTGTTTTAACTATTTAAAATCTAGTTATGATAACTATTTAAATAATCTATAAAATATTAAAATTTTGTTGTTATTTGAATTTTATTTATTTAAATCTATTACATATTATTAAATATTTGAAAATTATTTAAATTAATAATCCGAAAAATATAATTTAAATTGTTAGTACATAATTTTGTGATATATTTTGTAAAAATATATATATTTTTATTTTTAATAAATATTTTAAAGTTATTGTGTAATTTCGTTAGAATATTTAAATAATTCTTATATTTTTTAATCCAAACTTTATTTAGATAGATATAGATAAAAAGTAGGGGAGAGGATAAATAGGAATTAGAGATAATTTAGGAGAGAAACTCTCTACTAAATTAAAGATAATTTTGGAGATAAATACGAATTATAGATAATTTAGAAGATAAATAGGAATTAGTGATAATTTTGGAGAAAGTGGGGGAGGTAGTTTTGGAGAAATTTTAGGAGAAGAGATTATTTAGGTTTTGGAAAAGTGCATCTCATTGGTTGTTTAATCTAATCAAGATAAGAAATGATTATTATTTTATATTTTTAAAAATAAAAGAAAATACAAAAAATAGATAAATAGCTTCTCTCAAAAGAGAGCTATGTTGACATGGCAGGAGCAATTTTAATATATATATAGAGAGAGAGAGAGAGAGAGAGAGAGAGATGCCATAGAGGAATTTGTATGAAAGAGTTTCAGAAAGCTCTAGGCTCTAAACAATGTTGAACCTATCGATTAGGCTTTGGGCTCTCTAGAAATCCATTGAATAGCTCCAGTAAATAAATGGGAAATGACTGTTCAACCCACACCATAATTCTTAACCCCATCGTATAGGTGGGATGAATTTTGACTATGTATCGATAGGGGCAGCAACAAGCCGAGCTTTTCACGAGTTGTTCGAGCTCGGCTTGGTTTCAACCAAGTTTGAGTTTGAACTTGAGCCTAATTAATTAGCTCGATTATGAAGCGAGCTGAGCTCGAGCCTAATGGAGCTCGACTCGTAAGCCGGCTTGATTATATACATATATATATATAATAAAAAATATTATAATTATTAATTATTATAAATCTTATTTTTTTAAATATCAAATAAAAAGTATTTTTATATATAATTTTTATTTTTATAAAATATTTTTTCTCAAAATCAAACTCGAGCTGAGCCTAACATAGCTTGAACTTATAAATTTTTTATCCGAGCCGAACTAAAGCTCAAAGTTCTGGCTTGAACCGAGCTAGAGCCTATAGACCCTTATCTTTCAATGCCAAATTCATGAATAGGATGCGGTTTATTGAGGACCGACTAATAGAGTACGGGGGTTGTAATTTCAGATTTTTCACGTGGAGTGCAATATACTTCAATAAAAATTCTTAGCCACACGTACGGGAGATGTTTACGGTGTACGATCAGGACATGCTGTTAGGTCGGTGTGAGACGCGTTTTACGAGGAGCAGATCCGGTTGACCACTGAAAGGCGGGATTCGATCCCTTGTCTCTGTTACAAACAGCCGGAGACCTCACTAGCTAGCTAGCCGGCAGGCATATTTGCGCATGCGGTCTATCCAATGGCTCGTGTCGGGAACCCAACAACATGGTCCAATGCATGATCGGTGCCTAGCCAACGGCCAACGGGGTCAGACCAACATCCACCGACTCACAATTCACAATTCACAAATCACCATCCATCTTTCCTTCACAGAGGCACAAATCACCAAAATATTAACTTTCCTTTTCAAATCCCTTCCAGCTGGCTTCTGTTAAATAAAACCCCTCTCTTCCGTCGTCACTCCACTTGCCGTGGCATTTCCCTCGTACCAGTCCGAAGAACGGAAGGGCTTCTGGTGCGTGGAAACCACACAGAAGCAAGCCAACAAGCTAAGAAATGGACGACTACACCAGGGAGATGATGGATCTCAAAACACTTGTCACTCGAACCCTAGAGAAGAAAGGTGTTCTCGCCAAGATCAGAGTATCTTCGAAAACCCCTTTTAGTATCCGCTTTATTTATTTGTGTTATCAATTCTGCTTGTTCCTCATTTTCTTTATTTTGTTTCTTCTTGCTTCCGTCCAAGATCTTCTGATGTTCGGCAGTTATTTGAAGGCTTGACGGGTGAAAAGAGGGGAGGGTTTGCTTTAGATGGAATTATACTAGGAAGCTTAGGTGGCTGAGTCAATGGATAGTTGGTCTAGGGTTTTTTCTACCCATACATTGCGATCTTATTCTGGTTGCAAGGGTTAAGAATACTGAACGGGATTCTTTCAAGATTGCAACAATGAAAAGTTAGGTTATTATTTTTGACGTTGGGCGAGTTTACAGGAACGCTTTCTCACGACGGGAATTTATGGCAATTGTATTTGTCATTGCAAATTCATGGTGAGAGCATGCAAGTGTAGATTGGGTTAGTATGGGAATGACAAGAGTCGTTGAACATAAAAAATGCCTTATCGACTTGTTTTATTTCTTTCCTTCTTTTCTTCCTTCCTCGTTTTAGTTCCCGCTTCACCTTCTTGGTGGGTTTTGGTCTAGTGATTCATAAACAGAAGAGTGTAGAATCTTTTTGAAAAGAAGTAAATGTTTCTTTAATAAAAAAGCTCGAATCCAAGAATTTCTGCTTTCGAAACCTAATTGAAATGTATGTATGGAAATGGAAAATCTGTGATGTCAAATACTCAAAGAGAGAACTCAAAAAAGGATTGTGCACAGGAGAACCAAAAGGTTTATAATAAAATGTTCATGCTTAATAAAAGAAGAATTTAAGTTTTATTAGAAATGTTGTTTTCATTGATTATGAATATAGTATACCTTTTGAATTCCCTTACGCTGTTCTCAGTTGATATTAGCATAGACTTACTGTCTAATAGAAGGACATATGAATAACAGTAAATGAAATAAAGTATGCTTATTCTTTATTATTCTCATTAAGAAATTCCATACAATTTTGAACTTGACTAAATTAAGAATTGGTTTTTGGTAGAAGTATTACATTGCTGTTTAGAAAAATTTCCTGTTTTACTTCAAGCAGGCTTACTTATTAAATAACTCATGTAAACCTGTTGCTATGAATGGGCATCTCTGTTTTCCCTCTTTCATTGTCATGTTTTATATTTCTCAATCTCATGACGAATAGTTGTTGAAGACCCTCCTGTTCTGGATTTTAGTTTCATCTGACTTTTTTTATAGGCTGAGCTTAGGGCTAGTGTATTTGAGGCCATTGAAGAGGAAGATCGGGCAGTTGAAAATGAAGATGGTGTCCCACCTGCATTACTGGGTAGCTGCAATGACCGTGCAAAGCAACTTCATGCATCTCCTTCAGGTTCCTTCATAAGATCTATTCTGTACATAAAATTATCTGCTTGTTTTCAATTCAAATATTCATAAGTTGCTAGATATTGATTTTGGAAGACTCTGTATTGTTTGAATCTTGAACCATTCAGATCTGGACACTTGATTTTTTTTTTTGCATGCCTATGGAGGCACTGTTTCCCCCCTGTTTTTAATAGGAGGATATTATGCTAGAATATGATACATTCATATTTGTTCTTGTCACTAGATTTCTCTGGTTGGTGATAATGACTAGAACAAATATTACTATTTCATTGGTTCTTGCTATGCATATTTTCATCGATAAAAAGAAATAATTTTCATTAAAAATAAAAGGAGACAGAATACAACTGAGCGGTGAAAAGATATCACATCCAAAAAACAAAATAACTGATCCAAACCTTACCCACACGGCCACACCAAATGAAACTCGATCTATGAGCAAGGTTCAAAGTATCGATATACCTTTGTCTCTGTGTATCAGCAGAGGTGTATCGGTACTTGAAAGTTAAAACCATGCGCCTTTGTATTTTTGTTTTATTTATTTTTTATTTATTTTGTGTAAAACATAAAATACTTTGAACCTTGCCTATGAGGCTATGACCAGAACACTTGAAATGATTACCTCTCAACTAACCTCCAAAAAATTATAGTCCTCCATGTTTTATTCACTCCATTACCCAACTTCTACCTATCCTACAAGCAGCTAACATTGAATCAGTATTACATCAGTCCTATTACTCTCCAGTCATCTCCCAAGTAGGCATGGTTTCTCACTCCATTTGACATATACTTAAACCTATACCTTATTCCTCCTTATATTTGCATACCATCTTCCATTTTGTGAATTAGTCATAGTCCCCATTTGTTTTTGTAGGTCCATGGCATTTTTCATCTTCTTTATCACCTTTGTGGAAGCTTTAGTATGTATATTAATTGGTAAAGGTGTATCTAATGAATGATCTCACTCTCCAGAGAGATTTATATATGTAATAAATCTTTGGATGACAGTTGGGTTGTAATTCTTGAGGCTTCTTTTGTGTTGGATTTCCTCATAAAGGGAGACCACGACACGATATTTCAAAGGCCAACCTGATCTCTTACAGGCTTTCCCCTAGGATGGAAATGTAGAATTCCATCACTACTACCACTGCCTCCTCTTCCTCCTCCTTAGGGGTGATCATTTTCCGCCTGGCCTGACCCGACAATTCTGGGCTTGGGACTAGGCTTGTGTTCAGGGTCTTCAGACCTGGCCTGGGCCTGGGCCTGGGCCTGGGCCTGGGCCCAATACTTCAGGTCTGCCCTGTTCCTGCACATATTCATATACATGTTATTTATACATAATTATGTATTTATATATAATATTTTATATTATATAATGCCTAAAACAAATTTTGTATACATAAATATAAATTCTTATATACATTTAATATTTTATACATAAAAGTTATAGGATTGGAATCAGGCTGAACCTGAACCCTTATTGTAGGTGCAAAACCCAGCTCAGGACCGGGCTGGCCCAGCCCATAATCACCCCTATGATAAGGGTGTCTTCTTTCATGATTATTAAAAAAAAATGAAAACAGGTATTAGAAGGGACACAAACATTAAACCTCCACAGCTTTAGGGGCAAGGCCCACTAATATCTCTAATGGAGGCAAATTAAGACGGCGGGATGATAATGTATTGAGAATCATTCAAGGACTTTTTAACATTTCTTGTCAATTAGCAGCCTAATTTCTTGATATTTCAAAAACATAATGGTGTCATCTGCAACGTGTCAGAGGATTGCATCTTGGATGACAACATAGGATTTTAAAATGTACCTTCATTGTCTTTCTAAATATTTGAGTTTGTACTTGTATCTATTTATATATGATGCTAAAATAGTTACACTTTCTTTTGTTTTATTTCCGTCCATAACTTTCATTTTATTGATCTAACTTTGATATTTTTTTTATCAATGTTTGAACTTTGATATCTACATGCAGGAAGGCTACTAACAGCACTTATATGTGAATACCTGGACTGGGCACAACTGGGTCACACTCTAAAAGTTTATCTGCCTGAATGTAATATGGTAATCATATAATTCTTTGTATTTCAAATAACATATTAATTTTCAGGTCTCACTTGAGACGTGTTATTTTTTTGTGACATTTTATATCTTGTTTATACATTCTTTTTTCTTTGTTTTTTGCAGCAAAAGGGTTTTTGGAAAGCTGAGTTGAAGGATTTTTGTAGCAAGAATGGATATGATTTTAACAGGAATGGAGAGAATGGCCCTTTACTTCTCGATGTTCTTGAGGGGTACTTGAAGTATGAGGTTTGATACTAGATGTCATCCTTAATACTTGGTCTTCTACCATGGATTTAGACATTGTACATGAGAAGAAAAATAATAGTTACAATATGGTCCTGTTAGTGTGTAAATCATTCACTTCTGATTGCCTTAGCATTTTGGCTTTCTAAAACTCAAGTCAATTCAACTCTGCCTTAACTCTAACTATTTGAAGTTTGCCTCATGACATTTGTCCCTCCCATTTGCTTTATCAAGGGCCATGTTTTCTGTTAAACTTTTTCTCATTGCAGGAAGTGTCTCACATGATTCATACTCATATTGGATAGGCTAAAAGTTTTTATTTGACTGTTAAACTGTTAACCATACACAATTCTTGTACTTTATCTGGGCTTAGGACTGGCAGACAAGCTACCATTGGTGAATGGATGAGTGGTCTAAAGCTATCCCCCCTGTGGACAACTTGACCTAACCTGAACCCGGCTCTTCTATTACTAATATACACATGTATTATACCATTATAGTCCTGCTACATATTATCATAATTCAATTATCCTAACTCTTAAGCTCTAACCCTAACGAGTGTCATTAGTGATTTTTGCTCCATAATTTTATGTTTTATAATTGCTGATTTCATGTTTTTGACTTTCAATAGGAGATCTATCATAATTCTTAAGTCATAATATATTCTAATCATTAAAAACATTCTTTTTTTTCACTTTTGTACAAAAAAGAATTGATAAAAAAAATCAAACAAGCAAATGCCAATAAAAAATATGGTAAATATATGGTAATTAAAGTTGAGTTTAGGTCTCTTACTCAAAGACCAAGGGAATTTGAGAGATTTTAAGAGGATGTGAGCCCAACCCAACCACAAGTCAACTTTGGGTTGGGTTTTGTTGGGTTAGGGTTGAGGGTAGGTTGGATTAGCCTTAAGTTTGGGGTTCAGAGTCTCAGGTTGTGCTAGGGTATGGTATTAGGCTGAATTTGACCTTCCTAAGGTGTACATTGAATTTACCAAAATACCCCTAATGCTTATAAAATTAGACTTTGTTGTTCTAAGGCTAGTGATGGAAGTTTTCCTCATCCCTGTCAAGTACTTGGCCTCCTTGATCTGGCGGGGACGGGGATGGAGTCTGTCTTGGTTGGGATAGGGGCGGGGATGGGGATAAATAAGGATACCAGATTGGGGATGGGGACAGGGAGTGAAGTCCTTGCTCCAACCTAACCTCGATTCTATATTAAGTATGTGTACATATATTATATTAAATGCATAATATTATTTATATTATATACCAAAATATGTTTAAAATATTATTTACATTTTAAATTTTCCTTTATTTTAAATAAATATTTTTTCAAAAACAAACTTCTAATTAAAAATTCATTGATTCAGGTTCCCAATGGGGAACCCGTCTTCGTAAGGGACTAGGGATGGATGCTAAATTTTTTTCCCGACTGGGATCGGGGTTGGGGATGAAGATTAATTTAAAACTCGGGGTTGGGGATGGGGAGTATGATCCCTGCCCCGAACCCACCCCGTTGCCATTTCCATGCACGGCATATGAATTTATGCAATATGGTTTGAATTTTATGTAAAGGATAATTGATAGTTCATGTGTTTTCTACATGTTTCAATCACACAATCGGAAATTTTGATGTTTATTCATGTTTTGCTTGTATATAATAGAAAATTAGATGCAAGTTTCGGACCCTGCCTGTCCAACCCATAAAAATAGGGAGGGCTTGGATTTTGAAAATCCAACCCATTGCGGGTTTTGGGGAGGGTACGGGTTGGGAGGTTTGGAGACAGTGAGGGTTTAGAAGACTAGAATTTACAAAACCCTCCCTGAACTCACCTTGTTGCAATTCCTACCTTGGTCGATTGCCTTTTCATCACTCTAGTCGAGATCTGTTGGGCACCGGTTGAAGCAATTTGTTCCGCTTTCTATTGGGTGCCATGACTAGCTTTTCTAGAGTCTCTCTATACCTTGTCTAGGGTGGTTGCCTGGTTGACTCCTTGCTAGCCCATTAGCGAAGCTGTTGACTAATCTTTGTACCCATTTAATGTCATCTAATTTAATTTCTATAGCTCTAGTTCACTTTGCTACTTTTCATTAGCCAGCTGGTATTTACTTTAGAATCACCTCAACTTCAATCTGTCAACTCCAACTTCCTTAGCATTTTTCTCCCCAAACACTGTTGCCAATAGCTCTGCCTGGATGGAATCTCCTTCCCCTGTTGGACTTGAATACGTTGCAAGTAATCTCCCATTCTCATCTCCTATTACTCCCCCAATTCTAGATGGTTTTGGGTTGCCTACAACAGTGTCAGAATCTGCTTGGAAAACCACACATGTTATTGTTTGAACCAATCACCATCAAAACAGTATTTATCCAAGATTTTTGCTCAAACAGGGAAACCACTTGAAGATCACCTACTTGCTCAAAAACACTTTCAGAGTACATGCTAGCATATTTCTTTTGATCAATAACAGTGATTTCATTAAATGATTGAGGAGTGAAAATGCATAGGAGTTAAAGTACATGCTAGCTAGCATATGATAACCCTAGTACTGTAATGTAATTCTTGATGTTGTTTGGGGTCAACACTCTTTGTGTAAGATGTTTGTTTGATATCCTTGATGAAAGTTACCGTTTCCAATAAAAAACCCTAGTATACTGGGGATTTCCAATTCAATCAGGATACTGCAAGACAAGCCCTAGGAAACTTTCCTTTGAGTCCTAGTGCCACAAGGACTCTTCCAATATCCTAGAGTCATCTCAGAACATAATACTAGAATCCTAGTGCAACTTGGACTCCTCTCTAGGAATTCCAGTTCAACTAGGAGTTCTCTCATATTTATCTCCGTGGCGTTCCCTTGAGACTAATACAGGAATCCTACCCTCACTGGGATTCCATTGCTAGATTCCTAGTCCAACTGGGATTCCTAGCCATGCAAGTCAACTTATTGGTTGTAGCACTCTCTTGTCTATGGGTTTGGATCCTTTATTGGACATCCTCAAAAGCATAGTATCACTTTTAGCCTCTCAACATACAGAGTATGTTGTAAATACAATCCAATGGTAACCTCATTCATAGTATATCAAAGTGATTGATCATGATGTTACCGTTCTGAGAACTCGTTAGGTCGAAGGGCAAAAAAGTCTTTGCATTTGAGTGATACATTCTATTGGCGCAGCATAGTTTTCAAGACGTCAAGGCGAACCTAGGTGACAGGAGAGCGCTTAGTCACCTGGTTGCCTAGGTGTCGCTTAATGTCAAAAAAAAAAAGGAACAAAAAGGGGATCAACCCCTATTTTCACCATTGCAATAGAAGTAACAGAAGGGCGACATGAAATAAAAACCTCACAAATCATGGACAAGAAGGGGGCGGAGCCCCTGTTTTAGTTCAAAAAATGATGAAGATGAATCTTTTTTCCAAAAAAAGAAAACGAAGGGGCAGACCCCTGTTTTTTGTTCCAGAAGGAGTGTTTTTGTTTAGAAAAAAAGAAAAAAGTGTTCTAGACTTCTAGTCCTCTAATATTTTTTATTCAACGAAGAAGTGGAACTGTGGAAGAGAAAGGAGGAGGGGTGGAGCCCTTGTTTTTGTTCAAAAATTTATATAAAAACTTATTGTCTTATGAAGTAAATAAAAATAATGATTCAGTACATCATGTCTATGCTTTTATAGACTTAGAATATTACAAAATATTAAATATACAAAACTTAAAATAGGTTATATATCATATCATATCATATCATATGGTGTTTGGGCGATGCGAGACCCAAAAAGCGTCTACAAGCCTAGGCGTCGCCTTGACAACTATTTGGCAGTGACAGATAAATCTTGTGATGGATCAAACTCAATTGGATTAGCATGGTTTCCACTTTCCACAACGAATTAAATTTCGGATGGGCTGAGATTTTGAATGTGTTTTTAGATCAATTGGGGAAGGGGGTGAGATTCATGAGATTGTGAGAATTGGGAGGAAGGTGAAAGATAGGAGTCAGTTTTCGCTGAGGAAGAGTGAAGGAAGATGTGGGTTTCGATGCAGGTGAGAGGGTGAGGATTGGATGTCCATGGCTGCTCTATGTTGGTTCCCAGGCTCAGCTGGTTTGTTCTAGTGCTTGCTTCTTGTATTGGTTGCTGGTTTTTGCTGTTTTCTTTTGGGCTGGTTGGGGTGTTAGTTGTTTGGGGGCCTTTTGTTTGGGATTTGGATGCCTGTAGTTTATTAGCTCTTTGTGTGTTCTCTCAACACCGTCCTAGGTTGTAATTGTTTTTTTTCTTTTTTAATAAAATTTCTTTTTACTAATAAAAAAAGTCTGTTCCTATCAGACTTGCTGGTACATGAATCCTTGGAATTTATCTGCTAATGTTGAACATGTTGAAAGTTATGCTGGTTAGAAAAGGAGTAGTGCTACCAGATGTAACCTGTATGTTGTGTGGGAGGGGGGAAGTAACTTCAAACCACCTGTTTCTTCATTGTGAATTTTCTTCAACAATCTGGGCCCACTTTCTCAAGGCAATTCACTGCTCTACCTGCTTGCCTAATTCAGTAAAGGCCCTGTTAGAAGGTTGGAAAGTTCGGGGGGGGGGGTCATGAATGGAAAGGGAAGGATTCTGTGGAAAGCAATTCCTCTAGCAGTGCTGTGGTCGATTTGGAGGGAAAGAAACAGAAGGATTTTTTTATCAGAAGCAGCTTCAGGTTGAAAGGGTGATAAATTTAATTGTTGATGATCTCAGAGGGTGGCTGATCTCCAACTTGCTATTCAAGGGGAATATTCTGGCTTCTTGTGTGGCTGTTAATTTTTTTGAGGTTTCTTAAAACTGTCATCAGTTGTACTTTTCTCTGTACAGTGAGCAGTTTGTTTGCTTTCCTATGATTAACAAAACTTTACCTTACCTTTTCAAAAAAAAAAAATGTCAACATCCAGCACTGAAACTCACCTATTCATTATTGGTGGAAAGTTTTTCTTTCTTCCTATTCCTTTTTCCTTTTTGATAAATACTCTTTTTTGTCATTTATTTATAACAAATGACATAAGATTATAAAGGATGATGGCAAAAAATTTAGATTTTTAACTCACCCCTTGACTTATGTGGCATAAGATTATAAAGTATGATTATATCTTTTTTATGACTACACCTTCACATTCTTGTTTTAGGTATCTTGTATATGCAATAAATAAACATAATCACAGAACAAAGTCAGGTTCTTAAATGTGTCCAGATGCATGCAATTCTGCTTTGTCATACTTGTAATCAGCATAACAAGTTCTCGGCATTGTAGTTTTTAGCTTGATGTGTATTTCTTTAACATGAGGTGTTTGATTAAACTGCTTTGTCTTCTTTGCACCAAGTGTTTCTTGCATATTAGAAATGTTCAGTATATGTATTTATGCCTTGTTCAATACATTATTAGTTGTTTAGTGGTATGTGTACAGACTTCTGAATCATGTGCCTGCAGAACTTATCTCAAGCAAGGGCTACTGGAAGGAGAATAATTAGTCCAGAAACAGAGTCCTTATCAAATTTAGAGTCCAGGAACATCCGAAGATCCTCATCCTCATCATCATCTGTTGCCGGAGGATTACCACCACTTGTAAGGTAGTGAAGAAGTTTTCCGTTCATAATAATTTCATTTTTATGAACCTGAAAATATTTCTTATTGTTGCTCCTCTCTCTAAATTTCACTCTTATTGATATGTTTCATTCACTTGTATGCTAGGCCAAATCCTGTCTCCCAGACCTCTGGTAAGTAATGGATGATGGAGAATTTTCTTGTTCTGTTGTATTTTGGTTACAAATTGTCTTTCTTGAGGCTTCCTAGTGTTCCAGATCGGAGAATAGGTTCCACTGTGACTGGGTATAGGAAAGATGAATACAACTGGAGATATGATAATGATGATCTTTCCGAGGATGTAATTCGAGCTTCCAGTGCCTTGGAAAATATCCAGTTGGATAGAAAAGCACGGAATCTAACAACATCATGGCGGTATGCCTTTCACAAGCTGTTGTATTCATTCTCTTTCTCTTTTGTTTTATACAAAATTACCTTCATCACCAACTTTTATATTCCTTTTATATAAAGCTTTTCTTTTATTACAAAATAACACGTCTTTCAAATTTTTGTTAATCTTTTAGGCAAATTGCTAATCACCAAAAGGTCCAAAAATCAATTTCTTTTTTAATTGGGTGAGTGATTGTCTGTGTCGGGTCTTGACAGGGGGGCATCATGTTCAACTGTCCTTCAACATACAAAACTATTAAAATCTGGCAAACCCCTTTACATGGCATATTGGAAACCAAAAATACGATATGATACACCATGAAACACCGATACCTCGAACCTTATTTGCCTATCATATGATACTTTGAATTTGAAGTTTGAACCTTGTTTGTACCTCATATGTGTGCATCCTACCTTGACTGGAAGATGAGGGCCCACCTAACTGGAAAAATGTTAATGCACGTGTGTTCAACTATGTCCTTGCCGTATCCAGGTAAAATAGATTCTGAGAATCTGATTCCCAATAAAACCCAGTAACCCTAACTTAGATTGCAGGAACAGGTTCAAGGCAATCTGAACCAGCAAATCCTTTTTTTTTTTTTCTGTGGGGGGAGGGCGTGTGTTTCCTGCCGTCCTATTGGCCATGGTTTCCACTTTCCACAACCAACTAAATTTCGGATGGGCTGAAATTTGGAACGTGTTTTTAGATCAGATCTCGTTTCCACGTGTCATGTTGTCCTCTTTGTTACATGATAACTACTTGGCATATTGGATACGGCAAGGTATCTGCCTGACATGGACATTGCACTCATTCTGAAATGCCAATATTACATGGCATAGAAATTGGGTATGCTTTGACCAATATATTTGGATGGGGGGAAGGTGGAACTGGGAATATGATAGATAGATAGAACAAAGTGAATGGTTGCTCCTTGTTAAAATCTCACTTTTTGTTGGTTCTTCCGTGCAGGCATGCCGGGGATGGAATCACAGATGATGATGGCAAATCAGAACATATCTAGTCAAATGGTTACTGTATTTGTAGTTTCTAAATGTTTGTTTTTATCGAAAAGGTGAAAAAAACCAGGTCATGTATGATTATATTCCGTGATTTTAGTAATTGGTCGAGTTTTCTGTTTCTCTCGTGCTCTTTGTTTCAACGTATAAATGCTTGTGTGAAGCCCCGTTTGATTTCTTCATATAATGTTTGTTAAGATCTCGCTATTGCTGACGTTTTTATCTTCCATTGTTTGGTTACTGTAATTGGTGTTACGATCCTCCAACCCACCTTTCTGAGTTCACATCTACGCCCCACAGTGTCCCACAGCACATCTCCGCCGTGCATTGGGAACATCTCCCGTATCAGTCTTGATGATGTCATCATCGGGAGATGGTTCCAATAGACGGCGGAGATGTACTGTAGGACACTGGGGTGCCCCCCCTTCTGGGGCGCAGATCTGAAGTCTTTCTCATCAGTGTCCGCGCATGAAAAATGTGCACTTTTCAATGTAACGCTCCTTTGGTTGGCATCTATAATTGGTGTAATGATGCGCATGGCCATTGACGTATAATGCCAGATGTTACGTTACGTTTAGTCTAACAAGGACTGCATCAAAACACACGCATACACATGTAATTGGTTCCAACCTATTGTTCTATTTTTAGTATCATTTTCTTGGTCACAAGAAATTGATGTCATTCAAGAAGAAGAAATTTTATGAGGACTCTCTAAACAAATGCATGTTAAGGGGTTTTTTCATTTTTCAGGAAGTGGGGGTTAGTAAGTTGGTGAGTTATCTTCTAGAAAAGAACGATTTCAGAGTAGCTTAATTTATTTGAATAATAGTATTTTCAATAATATCATTGTTTGTTCAGTAGCTTAATTTATTCGAATAATTGTATTTTCAATAATATCATTGTTTGTTCTGGATAAAATTGTCATTATACAATTTGGAAATAAGGGAACACCTATAAATATACTTATCTTGGCAAGTGTCTTCCAACTTTTGGCCTTGGCACTTTGGCAAGTAGGAGCTTTCTATGTTGAATTGTTGATTGAGCCCTAGTTCCTAACTCCTAATGGGCATAGAAAGTGTTTTTAGGAACATGCAATTTTAAGACAAACTTGGCCGTGTACGGATGGGTTTTTTAGGGATAAATGGACTGTAATTCATCTCAAAAATCTGAATTGTAGCTCTTTCCTAACTACTAGTAGCCCCTATAAACTGTATCTAGTTTGTAAATTTGGCATCAATCCACAAACAGATTCAGTTCACCCTCCTCCACCCCTATAAATCATAGCTCCACCCTAAGGGTAGATTAAACTATAAAAACCCCGTGTTTTTATATGTTTTTGGTCAGTTCACCCTCCTCCACCCCTATAAATCATAGCTCCACCCTAAGGGTGGATTGAATTATAAAAACCCCGTGCTTTTATATGTTTTTGGTAAAAATGCACGAAAGTCTGGAAATCTTCCTAAATTTAAAGCTCTAAATCATTAAAAATTTCATTTGGAATATGTGTATAACAAACCTCTAGACTTTTTGGGAATCAATCAATCAAGATGTCTCACTCTCATCTCATGTCGTTCCTTGAGAATCAAGATGCATACAAGTGACCTCCTATTCATTACTATAAAAAGTCCATTGAACTTGATCCGATTCCTAATGGAATATCCTCGTGCTCTTTTTTCTTCTATTTATTGGTCGATGCTAGCATCACGGTTCTGACCTTCAACATCTTAAATCCCAAAAAAAATGGGAGCCACGACCGTCTCACCCGCTATATAAAAATTGACATGGCCTGGCCAATCAGTTGAGGACACACACCGTTACTCTGACAGCCCTACAACTGAAGAAAGCAAGCAAAGGTTTTGCTTTTGCCTTTTCATGTCTGAATGACTGAATCTGATGTCGTCTCCACTCTCCACCGTGACCGGTCGGACCAAGCCTATCCAATCTTCAATGTATTCGTGTTTTTACTTTTAAGTTTTTGAGAGGATCGTGGCTCATTTAAAAACGTTAAATTCCCCAGCCAGAGGGGAGCCAATCCCACCACCATCACCATGTTTTCTCGTTTATATTTTATTAAGTTTTAATTTAAAATACTTTTCGAAAAAATACGGAAACACTAGATGCAGAATTCTGAATTCCAGTCCCTACTACTAGCCTTCTCCCCTTATAAACTACATCCTGCCCGTGAATTTGATATCAATTCACGGTGAGATGCATTCTCCCTGTACTATGAGGCTATAAAATTTTGATCTGGGCTGATTAGTCATTCTCCCAATAATTTTTTAAAAAATTGAAAAAAAAGCAAGACCGAAAGAAAGTCAGTCCATTGAACTTACTATGTGCCATTAAAAACCGCCGACCCGCCCCCCGTGTCTGTGCAAGAGAGGGAGAGAGAGTCTCAGAAATTGTTTGTTGCATTCTCTTCTTCTCTCTTTCAGTTTGTAACTGCAACAACTATCTGTTCTGCCATGGCGGCCGCAAACCGCCTGCTCAGAGCGAGAGCAAGAGGTTCATCGTTGTCATCTATGGCTGCCTACGTGAGGAGCTTATCTTCGGCCGTCTTTTCCGAATCTGACCTCCGTGTTCCTTCTTCTCTCCCTCACAAGCCCCTCTCTTTCCGTCGAGATCCCAAAGACAGAAACGTTCAGTGGGTCTTCCTCGGCTGCCCCGGCGTCGGAAAGGGTACCTACGCCAGTCGCCTCTCCAACCTTCTCGGTGTCCCTCACATCGCCACCGGGGATCTCGTTCGAGAGGAGCTATCTTCCTCCGGTCCTCTCTCCCAACAGGTTGGTTAGGGTTTCATATTGTTCATTTTGGTCTGGCTGTTAATTTCTTCCTATTCATGTTCTAATTTGGTTTCTTTTTCGGTAGCATAAACGAATGAGATCTGTCCACGTAATGACGTAAATCATTAGATCAATCGTCGTAAACTTTATTGAGAGCTGGAAAAGAAAAATGTTAAGCAAAAACAGTGCAAGTATTAATTGATATTTGTTGATTAAATGAATTAAGCTCACATCGTCATTATCGTCCCCCGAGTCAACCGAAATCATCATGATTCATGAGTTGGTTTCCTCGTTATTGGTCTCGGTGTTGCCAAACATGGATTCTTTTCTCGAGGCGATAGATCCCCAAAAAACAGCGAGGCGTGAGGCGACAATTAGGCTCTGGCCTCATTGAAGTCAAGTGAGAAATTATTACAGAAGTCACAAATATGCATTTCAAGCGTGTTCAATCTGTTTTAAATGCTACAACCAAAATAATAACCAACCATGAAAAATCATAGGTGATAACATTATACAAAATCTCAAAAGAACTTAATCAAAACTACAAACATCTTCCGAGTTCCAAGCTGGAAGCATTATCACCAATTACCAAAATACAAACCTCTAAGTTCTTCCCCTCCACGGAAAAATAAAAAAGAAACCATGTTTAAATGTTTTCAGCATGACACAATTGGAATAAGTAGTTTACATTAGTAAAATACTAGTATAAGAAGGGAGAGGCTATTCAACCGAAAGATCTAAAACTCCTGGACCTGACGGTTTCACTAAGGCTTTCTTTCAGGATTGTTGGGATATCATCAAGTTAGATCTATTGGCAGTATTTGAGGAGTTTGTGGAGACTCACTTTATAAGTCCAGAGATTAACTCCACCTTCCTGGCTTTGATCCCTAAAAAGGGAGAGGCTGTTCAACTGAAAGACTTTAGACCCATCAGTCTAGTGATTAGCATTTATAAAATTTTGGCCAAAGTGTTGTCGTTAAGGTTAAAATCAGCCTTGCCAACTTTAATAAGCCAATCACAAGGGGCCTTTATTCAAGGTAGACAGATCATAGATCAAATCTTGATAGCAAATGAATGTGTTGAGGACTTCAAGAGAAGGGGGAAGAAAGGTTTTGTATGTAAACTAGACTTGGAGAAAGCGTATGACATGGTCGATTGGTCTTTCTGTTGGAAGCCCCGAGGAATTTTGGGTTTGGAGAGAAATGGTGTGGCTGGATTGAGGCTTGTTTAAAAACTTGCCATTTTTCAGTTTTAGTTAACGGAGTGGTTAGAAACTTCTTTCCAGCCTCTAGAGGGTTGAGACAAGGGGATCCTCTTTCTCCTTTCCTTTTCACCTTGGTAGCCAATGTATTTAGTAGGCTCATTTCGAGAGCTGATGGGTTGGATATGTTTAGAGGATAGAGGGTAGGAAGAGAGGATATTGTGGTGTCACACTTGCAACTTGCGGATGACACAATCATTTTTTGTGAGTCTGGAGATCCCTCAAAGGCTAGAAACTTGAAAGGAGTAATAAAGTTGCTTGAATGCATGTCGAAGATGAAGGTCAATTTTGAAAAGAGTTGTGTAGTGGGGGTAAATTTGGAGATGGAGGAATTGAGTGAAGTAGCAGAGTCCTTAGGTTGCCTTACATCTAGCTGGCCCTTGAAGTACTTGGGTATGCTTCTAGGAGATAATCCAAGAGAAGGAAGATTTTGGAATTCGATCGTAGAAAAATGCACAAAG